AGCCTCCTGCCCCCCAGCCCTGGGCGGGGCAGGAGGCTGCTTGGACTCGGTCCTTATCGGTTCTGCCACTCGGTCTGCGCCCCATTTGGCCAAGAAAATCTGCCGGAAGACTGGGTGGGGCTCACTGACACTATCTGGGACCCACCTTGCTCTCCGCCTTCTCAGCCAGGGTCGCAGCCCTACCAGGGAGGAGCCGCTCACACTCCTGGCAAGAAGAATCTTAAATCCATGCCAGCACGCCCTGCTCACGGTCCTTCCAGATGCCGAGGGTAGGAGCCAGTCTCGCCCCTCGTCAAGGTAGACTGTGAAGCTGGAGCTCAGGGTAACTAACCCGTCCAGGGTACCCCGGGCGCCCAGCCGCTGGTGAGTGTCAAGCCGCCCAGAAGTGACCAGAGGCCCCTCTGAGCTAAGACCACTTGAGATTTGGCTCAGCACTCTCGATTCGCTTCACTTCAGATCAGGTGGGGAAGAGACAGAACCCAGCACAGCCTGCAGACAGGGGTGGTTGCCTCCTGCACAGAGACCTGCACCTCTGTCCCCGTGTTACCGAGGTTGTGGTGGCTGAAGTGGGCCGTCCCAGGGGAAGGGGGCAGGTGTGCTCTCTTGGTGATGTCAGCTAAGTCCAGACAGAGCCTGCACGCATGCCAAGTCACCCAGCATCACTTTGGGTGGTAGCCAAACACAGAAGACAATGAAGTGTCTAGAAATGCGATCTGGAAGTCTCCGCTTCAGCATCTGGGCAAAATGGTTTCTACTTTAATTGAAATGGAATCTGCTCACGTATAGCTGTTTCCAAGGGGACAGTGCAGTGATCAGTGGGTTCACCTCTGCCTGACTCAGACGTGTGTCACCCCAGCAGGGAGTCCCTCCCCACCGAGCACCCTCCGCACCTCCTCCCCACTCCCCAGCCCCTCCTTCTCCTCTCCGGATTCAGTTGCCCTTGCCAGGCAGTCCCGTGAAGATCAAACCAGGCTGTGGTACAAGGCCCCACGTGGCAGCACGCCCAGGCGCCGCGTCTCTGGATTCAGGAGATATCACGAGGGGCCATCTGCTCACCCACCGTGGACACCTAGGCTCTCTCTACCTTGTGCCATTGCATGTGGAAAGGCACAACATTTCTGTTTAAAAAATCATCATTTCGTTTTATCTATTATTATTATTTTCAATTTTCTTTAGGGCGTGTGTGCTCACAGAGACACACAGAGAGGGCAAGTGAGAAAGCAAGCTGCCAGGTTGGAGACTCGAACCATGGTCAGCCATGTGGGAGTCCAGTGCCTCGGCCACCACATCACTGCCGGCTCTGGCACAGCATTTTTAAATAGGACAAAAAGTCACTAACTTGACTGCATTAAACTTACACACTACACGGCATTCCGAGTGCAGGCAGACTGCCCAGCCGGGAGGCATAGCACCTGAGACCGAAAACCACACCCACAATCGTTTTGAAATTCCTACGAATCTGTAAGACCGGCAACACACAGACAGGGGTGACCGGTATTTCATAAAGAGGAAACCGGTGACCAGTGGGCTTATGAGCAGGGCTCACCTCACCAGTCACCAGGGAAATGTGAATTGAGACCCTGTGAGAAACCCTACACGCCCACTGGGAGCTGTCGGGGACTGTGACCACACCAGGGTCTGGGAAGGCCTGGACAGGGGCCCTCACACCACAGGTAAGAACCCACGTTGGCGGCCACCCTGTTCTGGGAACCTTGGCACTGAACACTCATGCCTGTGACCCAGCAGTGCCACTCCTAGGTATGCAGCCAGCAGAGCTGCAGGCGTGCGACATGAGTGAGGGCGTTGATTGCAGCATTACCCACGGCCTTCGTGTCCACGCCCTGCCGGAGAATGCACAGAGCCAGACCCCAACGAGGGAGCGCAGTGCAGCGAGCGTGAGCCTGCCCGGGGCGGCAGGCCCTGCACCGCGAGGAAGCAGAGAGGACAGCCCCAGGGGAGGACAGGCTGTACCGTCTCTCACAGGAAGGCCGGATGCAGGCAGGCACAGTTGGGCTTTTTGGAGTTCGCCTGGAATCCCAGCTACTGGGAGCTGAGGCTCAAGGCTCATGACACAGAAGACCCTATCTAAAACATGCATGTACTCAGGTGTGCACACACACGCACACGCACACGCACACGCACACGCACACACAGGCAGAAATAACTGATGAGCTTACAGATGCGTTTATGGGTGGATACAGAGTCCCAGGGGCCACTGTGACGCTTCCAGACCCACAGCAGAAAGCACGAGGCCCCTCTGAGCGTTCTTGCCGTGACCCGGGACGGCTGAGACAGGGGGTGGAGTGAGGCCTGAGGACCCTGTTGCAGGCACCTGTCTCTCTGTCTGTTTCTCGTGAAAGACAGTAAAAGGAGGAAAACCCAAAAGGGTACCTGCCCACGGTGTTTTACAGGGTCTGAAAGTCAGAAACAAAGAAGCCTCTTTGGGGTCCTCTCCTTATGAGGCCAAGGATGAAATGTGGGGGACTTCCAAAACAGAGGAGTCCTTGGGGCCTGAGAATGGGCAAAAACCATGCAGCACCAGAGGCAGCTGTCCTGGACCCCCCATATGGCCTCCTCTGTTAGGATCAGGCTGCCCCATGGCTCCGCGGCTAGGAGGCTCCCTGGCGGGTCCTCGCAACACACCCCACACTGGGCCCTCCCTGTCCTCCCCTCATGCAGCCCACCACCCACCCGGTAGCCTCTGGACTGGCCTCTCCTGCCCCGTACACCACCCCTGGCCCTGTCTCGCTCATCCATCGAGCCTCTCTGCAGCCTTCCCTCCTCTTCTCCCCAAAGTCTCACAGCCCTCACCACAGGCCCACAGCCAGGGAGCCCTGGGTGCCAGGCAGAGACAAGAAAGCATTTCCTTCAGAGACAAATAGTTTGTCAAGGGGTCGGGTAGGGAACCGGCTTATCTGAGTCTGGACAAGCATCCAGGCTATCCAGCCTCTTCAGACACCATGGCATGCCCAGGCACCCAGAGTGGTTAGCAAGCTGTCGTCAGGCATGGGGTGGGAGGGCCACCCTGAGACAGGGATGTGAAGTGTAAGTAGGAAGACCCTGGATGGGGCACGGCTGTGCTGGGGGGGCTCTGAGGGCAGACCCAGCTGCAGGCCACAAGCAGGTACCTGAGCAACCAGAGGGCGCCCCGCCAGGCAGGGGCTCGCGCACGGCCCTGCCCCGGCCCCGGCTACAGAGCCCAGGTGCAGCGTCTGCCAGACAGGCCCTATACTGACCCATGTCTGTTTACACTCAGAGTCTTCAAGGAGTTTGGGAAAGCGGCACGAGAAACCACGCACAATTTCACTTCTCTTTGCACCCAAGCAATGGGTACTTTAACCCCATTCCCCATGAGCTTTTCCAAGTCTCCGCGTATGTTTCCAGCAGAGAGCACAGCTTCCCCAGTCTGCAGAGCAGGGCAGGACTCGGAGCATCTGAGCTGGCCTGAGACTGCAGCAAGCAGGGAGGGGACATGGTCCCAGAGGGGCCTGGCGGACCAACTCCTCTGCCCACACTTCTCACTCTGAAATGGACAGGGCAGGGCAGAGCTGGACTGCAGACGAGGCACAGCCAGGCCAGCCGGGCAGCAGCTCTCTGACCCTGTGACCCCCCAGCCCCCAGGCCCTGACTGCCCACTGCCCCTGGATCTGATAAGAGTCCCCACCCCAGCGGCCTCCTCCCCTCTGCTGACCAATGGCCACAGCCTGGCTGGACCCCAGCTCCCCGCATATAAGGGGGCCCTGGGGGCTCAGTGCCACCGAGGCCGGCCCGAGCACCCCAGCTCGTCACCCACCCAGCCACCACCATGTCTCTGACCAAGACGGAGAGGACCATCATCGTGACCATGTGGGGCAAGATCTCCTCACAGGCCGACGCCATCGGTGCAGAGACCCTGGAGAGGTGAGCACCGGGGACCTGAGGGAGAGGGCCAGGGCAGAGGCCTGGGAGAGCGGCCAGTGCCGGGGGGCAGTGCGGAGAGACGGCGAGGAGGGGACAGCAAGGAGGGACAGCGAGGAGGGACGGGGGGGAGGGGACAGCGAAGGGGGACAGCGAGGAGGGGGGACAGGGAGGGGGACGGGGGACGGCGGGGGGGCAGCGAGGGGGGAGAGCGGGAGGGGACAGCGAGGGGGGACAGCGAGGGGGGACAGCGAGGGGGGACAGAGAGGAGGGACAGAGAGGAGGGGACAGCGAGGGGGGACAGCAAGGGGGACAGAGAGGAGGGACAGAGAGGAGGGGACAGCGAGGGGGGACAGCAAGGGGGACAGAGAGGAGGGGCAGGTCACTGAGGAGGGGCAGAGAGGAGGGGCCATGATGGGGTGGTGTTGGGGAGGGGTCCTGTCTGTGCTGGACCTGGAAGTGTAGGGGGTATGGGGGAGCCATGGGGAGCCTGTGCTCAGGTCTGAGCAACCCCAGCATCCAGGGTCCAGTGCCCAGTGTGGCCCTTGCCTTTCGCTTTACTGCGGTGCCTTAAAACGCAGCTTAGAGGGACCAGCAGGTGGCGTGGTGGTTAAGCACTGGACTTCCCACAAGAACGACCCTGGTTCAAGTCCCGGACCTGGCGGTGTGCTCTCTCATGGTCCCTTTCTCTCTCTGTCTTGCTCTGATCTAATTAAAATAATACTAATAATGACAAAATAGATAAATCCTTCTAAACCCCACGCGGCTTAGGGTGACTGGCGGCCGTGGCACCCCAAGCTCGCCTGGAGGCGCCGCTCACGCCCGCCGCCCGCCCGCAGGCTCTTCCTCAGCTACCCGCAGACCAAGACCTACTTCCCGCACTTCGACCTGCACCCCGGGTCGGCGCAGCTGCGCGCACACGGCTCCAAGGTGGTGGCCGCCGTGGGCGACGCGGTCAAGAGCATCGACAACGTCGCGGGCGCGCTGGCCAAGCTCAGCGAGCTGCACGCCTACATCCTGCGCGTGGACCCGGTCAACTTCAAGGTGGGCGGCCGGGCGGGGGCGGGGACCTGTG